GAAAATGACCTGGACGTCAGCCAAAAACATCAATGTGAAGCACCAGTGCTGGGAGAAGGCGTAACAGATGGGTCATTCTGTGTCAGCTGAACAAATGCTTCCCAAGCCTGATCACCTTACATTTCCCTGAAAAATTCCAAGGGAGTGACACACTTCTTAATAGGGAAAATGCCAAATTTATCTCTCTACTGAAGAGATAAATTGACATAACATGTTATGTTATGTTATGTCATAGCATAGCAATATTCCAAGTCAGCACCTTTTCAGGCCCAGGCAAAAGCTTCACCTTTGATGTGAGAGTCATTGTTACAGTTAAAAACAATTTGTATGTAAAGAAATTTTAAATAAACTGTCTTACAAACAGTGGCGATGACACTTTGCATATTCAGACATGCCCCCCAAAATTAAACAAATGACATTTAATATGAGCACTGGCACTTTTATGGGAGCTGAGAATAGCACTTGTTTCTTAGAAAACTTGGGATGCTCTGTAAATTGAAATGCATTTTACTGTGTTCTGCACAGCTTGTCTACTAAAGAATCCTGGAGGATGTTTTAAGGACTCACCAGGAAATTGCAGGGTGAAAAGTGGTTCCAGACCAAACGTTCCACTTGGCCACTGAACCTCCACGTCCGATAGCTGCTGTCTGGACTCCGACAATCATAAAGTACAGCTGTCCTGTAAAGAGAACATGTTAAGCCTCCAAACTTTTGTCAATCCAAAATTTTCCTATAAAATCTGGTGGTGAGGAGAACAAATGACACGAACTTGTCGTAAGATCCCGATAGCAAAGTCTGGGCTTCAAACGGGTGGAATGTTAACGTCTGGACCTGAAAGACAAACATGTTTGTTACCCAGCAGCTTAATGCTGTAATTTCTGGGAATGCAACACTCAATATAAACTGTGAATTGTATTTTTATTTCTCATTGAATACCTTATCAGTGTGTCTGCGCAGGGTTCTGGCTGGCTTGCCTTGAGACATATCCCACAAGATAACAGTTTCATCTGCAGAACCGCTAGCCAACACGTTCCTAAGAAAGAGGGGACTGTGTTTCAGGAAAGACCCACTGATGTACAGATACGTACAGTTATACCACATGCATCTAATATAAACAAAGTATATGCACATCTCTCAGCCTCAAGTAAAGGAATTCAAGTATCTCTGGGACTTGTTTACAAGTGGAAGGAAGAGTGGATCGTGTGATTGAAAGATGAACTGATGCAGCATGTTTAAGTCTGTTGTGGTGAAGAGAGACCAAACTGGGAAGGCAAAGCTGTCAGCTTACTGGTTGACTTGCTTTCCTACCTTCATCTATGATAAGAAGCAGGGGGTAGAGACTGAAATAATAAAAGCTCAGATACAAGCTGAGGAAATGAGCTTCATTTACAGGAAATCTGGGCTCTCCATTAGAAATGGGTCCATTTTCCGAGAGTAAACGGAGGCCTGTTCATCTCCGTTTAGACTCCTTGCACCGCAACCCACATGAGAATAGGTGGTAGAAAATGGATGAATGCATATTAATGCAATCTGATACTGACCTGGCCAGCTGGTTCCAGGATAAATCCAGCACTGCATCTGTGTGCCCCTCAACAGGTTCTGCTGCTGCCCCCTGTTATTTTTAGAAGAACAGACAGAAACCGTTAATTACCAACTCAGTCTCAACCTATATTAAACCCTTCAGAGTTTACTAAATGGACTGGTACTAATATAGTGCTTTCTACTAGAGCTGGGTATCTATTTGATTTCTATAACTGAATCGATTCAATTCAATTTTGACTCAAACAGTCAGAAATAGTATAATTATGATCATTTATCAGTACATATTCATATTTTTTATATGTACAAAAACAAATCTGTCACTTGTGAGACTTCATTAGAGGTGCCAGCATCACAGCAGATGCCTTTGTGTCAAAGTAACTGAGGATAAAACACAGAAAAACATGAAGATTTTCCTGTCCTGACTTTTTATAGCAGATAACCGCCTTAAAAATATTCTGCAGTAGATCAAAAACTGAAGAAAACCACAAATCAACATATGAATATTATCTGATACTGCTAAAGTGAAGCAGAGCAAGGTTACAGCGGCCGACAGCACTGTACACAACGGTAGACTGGTGCGTAATGAGCAAATGAATAATGCAGAAAATGGAGACTTTTGACGGTAAACTGGTCTCTGAGTACACTGAGAGAGAGGGCTGTGCAGGAAGTGTGATTTTTATCTTGGTGGAAGCAAAACAGTGAAAGTAAGAGGGAATTCATGACAATGTTTTTCAAACGTGAAGCGTAGTTTTGATCTTCTTTTGTTGCTGGTTCAGTAAATTTTGGTCAGAGAGTGACGAAACCTGCAGCTTTCAAATCTGTAAGACGTCAGCTTTCACCTGATGTCGTGTCTATGTACGTGCTGTCAGGTGAACGAGGGGATCCGCACCCATTGTTTACATCTTTTTACCTGCTCTCATTTCCTTATTTAGTTGTTTGGCAGTTGTTGAAATAGTTTTGTGAGTTTTAACCTGAGATTCTGATATTTCTGGTAAAATACATTTACATTTAAAAATCAATTCAGGATTGAATGAAAGCGATAGAAATTCACACACTCTCACTCTGATGGGCATCTGAGGGTTCAATTTCTTGCTGAGAATAAAACCACTAATTAGGTTTTTACCTTTTTGCTCTTCTTTTTCTTCTTGGAGGCTTTTTTGCTCCCCAGAGAGAATGCCGGCTCTAAACAGTCCACCACATCCAGATCCCACACGTCTATCTGAGGGGTCATGTTGCCCACAGCTGCATAGTTAGCTGCAGGGTAACACACACACAAACAGGAGACAGTGCTTGCTAAAAGGTCCTATACAACGAAACAAGAGACTTTATCTAAATTGCATTTATCATTGATGTTTTCTTACATGTTCCTTCTGCAGGATTTGGGTCAAAATTTAGCCACTCCACACACAGTGGATAGGCTGGCAGGAGAATATCGTGATGAACATAAAGGGAGTCCTCCTCTGAGTTGTAAACTGCAAAGTAACACATTTAGCTTATTTTAAGCCACAGCAGCAGTATCCAATGAACAAAACTTCCTTCTATTTGCTGAAGACAATCCTCTGTTATCTGTCCACTGGGTCAGTAAATGAAGGCATTTACCAAAGATTTCCAAATTGCAGCAATCCTTCTCTGCTTTGCCTGCCAGGATCAGGTTGTCAGTGGGTTTGATTTGAAAGTCCTCGCGCTCATACTGGTCCTAGGAAGGAAGTTATCCAAAATAATTAACACAAATTTCTTGCACTGGAAAACAAATGAGGGGTTTTAAAGTTTATAGCAGCTCCTCAGGCACAACACAGAATGCATGCACTTATTTTTGGAGGCCACTCACTGTGTCTTTGATGGTGATGTAAGGATCCTCCTCATTAGAGCTGAACACTGTGAGTCCAGCCAGGCTGTCACCAAGATTAGCCGTCACTAAAACAGAGGCAGAGCACCAGAAGATATGGGATGAAGCGGCAAATCTACTCAAATAACCAAAGAGCACCTTGCCCCTTCCTCACCTGCGTCTTCTTCATCATATTTATCCAGGCCATACTCTGCTAGCTCATCCCCCTCCTCCTTTCCTTCTTCACTCTCATCCTGTGGCACTTCAGCAGTATCACTCTCTTCAACAGGTACACCCTCAGCATCTTCTTCTTCGTCCTCAGCTGCCAGTTCCCTGGGGGCATTCAAAGAAGTAAACAAAAAGTACATGACAGCAGGCACAGTGTGATGGGATACACGGGAGCAGTGAGCCTTTAACATACCCCAATTCTTCTTTCGCTTCAGTGATGATTCGCTGGAGCTCCTCCTGGCTCAACTCAACCTAGAGTTAAATTTTAAAAGTGGCTTTATTATTTTAAAATATATGTGCCATTTGCTCGAGGTTCAATACGTGTAAAAGTTTGGGCACTGCCATGTTGACAGATTAGCCGCCGGTCGGCTAACATGCTAATGTTACTTACTTTATCCGGGGTTTCCTTGGCAACGCCTCGTTTTACCCACCCGATACAAGTAATCTGGGAGCTCATTGCGGACAAACTGTGCGGTTTATGTACTCAAAACTTTATAAACTACACACTAAAAGACTATTTAACCTCAGACACGCACACTGGGGGCGTACATGTGAGTTTCACTGGGTCCTGCGACGCGTCTTGATGGCGTTGGAGGAGCGTTGAAAAATCTGCCTGATCAAAAATGTAGCAGAGAAACTTGACTTCTGAATTGAGATTTCTAAGAGGAATCCCTCAAAAGCAGAATGTCAAAGTAAGCCCACTTTGAAGAAGTTTAATTATACATGTAACGCCTGAGATTTATATAACAAAAATTGTGTAATTTCAACAGTATGTTTCGGTTTTACTATTTGTTGAAGAAATTCTGCTGTAGTACACGAAAGAAATCTGTCAGCACGACTTAAATAGCAAGAAATAAATAAGCTGTAAATAAGAGTTCTCTTAAAAACCCCCACAAAAACTCTGGACCCATTGCTAACACAATTTCCATAGCAGGTAGTGAAAAAGGGAACTTTTGTCATTTGTTTATCAGTTACTTACTTTGGTGTAATACCAATGGCCACGTGGGAGCTATTTATCAGTAGGGAAAACTGTGAAAAAGTAGTAAAAATTCTTAACATTTTCCAAAGCCGTCTAGTAGGCTGGATTGCCTTTGCAGGCCAGGTCAAGCCCCCCAGCCTTATGTTTGACATCCCTGCTGGTTTTAGAGTTTATTTGGTCAGGTGACCATTAAAATTAAGGATAATTTAGACAGTGCTGTGAGGCGTTCTAAGGTAGCTGCTTCTGCTAAGTATCACTGAGAAGTTTTTGCTGAGTCTTTGATTTTTGCCTTTCTGTTGTGATTTAAAGGTGCACCCCCTCATCTCAGTATAATGGCCGTGTTTAATTTTACTAATGTGAGCACTACACTTGTATTCATATCAGAGTTGAGGGCTAAATGAAATGTATGACGTAAGACACGAAATATGCTTTTTATAGATATATATAAAAAACAATTTAATGACCGTATAAAACAACAAGACAATAAAGATATTGATATATGATACTGTTACTGGTGATTATACTTACGTTCAGGACAAAGTGGATTAAAAGAGGTACTTTCATGACTGACACGGGATAACATAAAAAGGCCTGAACCATCATTTCAGAATAAAAAATGAAGTGCAGTGGTCATACACAAGACTTATATTCACCAAAGTTTTTTCATAGGATATATTATGTTTTCCCCACTTCAACATATTTTTTTATATACAAAACTTGTTGATTATTCTCCTTACTAGAACCCCCACCTCACAAAATAAACACATGTAAAGTTTAAAGGGGACAATCTCCTGCACATTTATGCCGTGCAACATTGTGAGCTCTTTAACAGAGGTGACAAAAGCATTATACCAACACTGCACATCTGCATTTTGCAATATTGGTGATTATTAAATGTGTGCGAAAGCTGTGCACACCCATGTGGAGGAAGGTGGACAGAGTGAGATGCTAAAGTGAGAACTGCTCTAGTCTGATATACCCAAAACAAGCAAAAAGAATAGCATAACTAAAAAAAATGCTTAAGATTAATGTATCCTTTGGTATGACTTGAAAGGTCATCTCTGTAACAGCCAAGAAAAATATGTGAAAGAGCTGAAAGAAGGGAAAAAAAACTAAACGATTCACAGTTGAAAGCACTGATTTGACGTCCTTACCTGCCTTTCCCCCCTTTTTGAATAAATCCGGTTGCAAAAGTCAATGCATAAAACATACAGCATGGCAATTAATTAAAAAAAAAAAAATCACCAATGTGCTAAATGTTACATTTTTCTTGATTTTAGTATTTGTGTTTTGGTCTTTAACGTCAAGACGGATTTGTGGTTTTTTGTAATTAAAAAAAAAAGATTACAATTCACATTTCTTGAGCCAAAAGTTCATATTCGGCATTCTGCTGCAGCCTTTTCCACCTGTGCTGTTATCTTTATATTTAAAGGGTCAGCTAAATTTATTTCACCAGAAAAACAAGACTCTTAAAGTGCGTTTTCACCACCAAACACATCAAGGCAGTCCAGGGCAAGAAAATAGTGGTTAGGGAAGACTACACATCAGTGGTTTTTCTGGTTTTTCCGTTCGCCGTCCTGCAGTTCCTCAAGGATGGTGTTTCCTGTCAGACAGTTCATGCTTTATTAACTTGGTAATCATAATATTATTGTAGGGTCTACATTACAAGATAAAGCCCCTTGAGGTGACTGTTGTTGTGATTTGGTGCTGTATAAATAAAACTGAATTGAATACAGAGAAAAAGAACACTCTTCTTGTGACACACTTAAAAGGTTCTGCTTTCGTGTCCCATCCGTTTTCATCCACCTCCAAGTCCTTCTTTTGTAAATGCTCAGCTTTCAGTTTCAGTTTCAGTTGCCTTTAAACGTTTGGACACCAGCTTCAGGTTGGTCTCGTGGAGGATCACCTGGGTCAGGTATTTTTCCCGTTTGATTTGTTCTTTAACAGCATACGGGACGTCGGGGATTATGTAGGCCAGGATGAACTTGGTAAAATAAACAATGTGCTGCGAACACACACACACACAAAAAAAAGAAGTGAACACTTCCATTGGCATGTTCTTAAATTATCCTTTTCTGACGTGATCGGTTTCTATTTATTTAGTTTCTACTCACCTCCACAACAATTATAAAAGCCATTTTGGCAGCGATCACATGCCAGTAGAACATGTTGTATTCGTACTGTCTTTGGTGCCCGGGGGGAAACCGATAATCTCGATACCTGTAAGAGAAAAGTTTTCAGTAGTTTTCTTCAAACCCGCACTGATTTGCCATACATTTGTTTCTGTATTTCTCAGCTTTAATCTTTTTTTTATGACTGCAGAATATAATTTGTCTGTGCTTGATTATATGAGTATAAGTCAGGCCACAGCTGCTCTTCACCCTTCTCCACTCTTTGGTTCGAGCTCAACAGTTTTTCAGTCGTTTCTGGAATGTTTTGAAGCTCATTTGTGTTCACACGCTACTAAAGCCCGTCTCGTCAACCTCCAGCATTACTCGGTCCATTCCTCGACTCTGATCTGGACTCTGTCTTTGCCCTGCTGAAACCAAGCCCTGCCCCCATGCCTAATACCAAAATAGCTTTGGTCTGCATTCCTCTCTTGTCCTTAGTCTGTACTCCCTCCCTCAGCTTAGTCATTCTCCTTGCATTTTTCAAGGCTACAGATAAAACTTCTTTTCAGTAAATCTTATAACTGTGATTAAATCAGGTTGTCTTGCACATACTTGCAGGGACTGTTTGCTATTTACTTGCACTTAAACAAACACATATGCGTGTACAGGTTTCTGCATGTTCATGCATATATGATCTAACTAAGGTTAAATAAAAACTCACAGTCAACTCACTTAATTGGAACCTTTTTTTCCCCAAGTTACATACATTCAAATACGCTCACTGGCCACTTCATTAAGTACATATTTTTCAACTCCTAATTAAGGTAAATATCTTATCAGCCAATAACCTGGCAGTAACTTACTGTATTTAGGCATATACACAATATCAAAACGCCCTGCTGAAGTTCAAAGTGAACATCAGGATGGAGAAGAAAGGTAATTTAAGTGGCTTTGAGTGTAATAAGGTTTTTGGTGCCCAATGGGATGATCAGAAACTGCTGATCTACTGGGATTTCCCCACACATCCATTTCTAGCTAGTTTAGAAGATGGTGTGAAGCAAATAAAATATCCAGTGAGCTGGAAGTCTCTGGGGAAAAAACACCTTTGATGTCAGAGGTGACGAGTCAGACTGCTTTAGAGTGCACAAACTCACGAGACTGGAAAAACATTTCCTGGTCTGATGAGTCTCCATTTGGAGGGTACGATTAGAACTGAGCGTAAACAACATGAAGGTATTGCTCCATCCTGCCTTTAAATCAGTTTAGGGTGCTGGTGGTGTAATGATGTGGGAAATATCTTTTTGGGACACTGAGCATCATTTAAATGTTACATCTTACCCAAATATTGTTGCTGTGGTCTTTTCTCATCATAACTAACCATGTCACAAAGCTCAAGCAATCTCAAGCCTAAAAATGACAATACATTCACTGTACTTAAATGGCCTCCACAGTTACCAGATCTAAATCCTATAATGCACCTTCATAGTGGAGTTGATCAAATCTGCTGTGTGATGTTCTTATGTCCAAATGGACTAACAAGCAAAAAGTTTAAGCCCTTGTCCTTCCAGTCCACCTCGCACTATCTAGAAAGTGTGGAAGCTAATTTTAAATGAAAATGATGATTCAGTCTTTGTACCTGCAAGTGGTTAGGTTGGGAGGCGTGTGGATATATTCATCATCAACTGGGGGAAAATCGTTGGTACTGAATACCGACAGCGAGCTGTTGATGTAGCCCTTCATGGTGTTTTCAGTATTATTGCCGTAGGGGTACACTGAGAAAGACCAGTAGTAGACCAGCCGTGGGATCATGTCCGACGTGAAAGCAATGATCATGGCCTGTTGAAACAGACAAACATCAGGGCACAAAGTTAATGCAGAAAAAGCAGAAAACTGGTTGTAAAAGTTAAAATGTGAGACTTTTCTTTTTGCACAACATTTTCTTGTATTTTTGACAAACATATAGTCATTTTGGGCTGCAGATAATAACTGTGGTACAGTTATAGTAGTTAACTAAACTGAAGGGCTGAGATTGTAATCGCCTGTAAAATGAGTTAAAAAACTAGCGTTTGGGTGTAATTATCAGCTTACATTTGTTACCACAGCCAGGATAGTGATGCCTTGAAGAATGGGCTGCCAGGCTCCTATGTGCTGTGCCTTCTCTGGCACATCACGGCGAAACTGAGTGGTGATTTTCCAAGCATCAACCCGAATTTCTATTATATTGTTGAGCAGAGCCAGGGCCGGAGCCAGAGGGAAGGAGGCCACAAACAGGGTCACAAAGCCAAATTGGATGGCTGTAAGGAACAAGAGGTTTCCCAGTGCACCAGGTATTAATAAAATAATCAATTATTCTGTATATTCAGGTTCTGTTATCAACAACAGCAGCTGCAAATATAACAGACAAAGTGCCAATAATGTATTGCCATCTCACCCATTTCAAGGTATTCATAGAACAGTCCTAGTTTTGAGCTGGGTTGAAGCTGGTAGTCCTGCTCCCAGCGAGGAATCACTTTCTCCGATGTCACATGGACGCAGTGGCGATAAATTAAATTCTTCAACCACCTTGAAAGGATGGAAGAGATGGCGTAAAGTAACAGTAAGTAAGTATCGTTGCCTATTTATCTAGTCGATTTGAACACTGTTGTAAGCGACATATCGTGTTTACTGAGCTAAATCTTTCTGTGAAGTCACGACCTTTGAAAAGACATCCCTTTGTCTAAATTGAAAGAGATGCTCATGCAATTAGCAATTTTCTGTTCATTAGAGGTTTGGCAGCTGTCCAAATGGTTGACTTTTTAGTTCAAGCTTAAAATACGCAACAGATAAAAATGTAGTTGACGTATAGACCACATCAGCTCAAATGGACTGGATTTAATTGAAAAGTTCGTAGAATTGTTGAGGAAAAAGTGGGTCCATTCACTTTTCAAGCAAATGTATGTATACAGTAAAAGGACAGCTTTTTAAAAGATGGCTAGTTAGCGTTCAACCTCATCTCAACAAAAACAGGTCCTAGATTCCGAGTCCTTACGGTATCAAGACCTCCTGGATGTTGTTCCAGATGGCTTTTCCACCCATGATGATTGCCAGCTGAGTCGTCAGCTCAATCAAACAACCACCCGGATCACACTGCAAATCAAAGACACACATTGACAGCCATGGATATCTAGCTATTTACTTGGCTATGTAAACACTTTATGGACTAATAGTACCTCCTCATTTCTGTATTTTCCCAAAAGATAAACAGGCTTTCCTGGATGGCCAACTGCTTTCCCCTTTGCAAAGGCGATGTAGAAACATGAGGAGTAATAGTTGACAAATTGAAAGAGGAACATCTTCAGAGTCAAGCTGTTCTCATAGTCCGTCTTGGTTCGTGGAAGCTCTGTTATTGTGTCGGATATGAAAAGACTGTGGATTAGGTTATTTTCCATTGAGGAAAGACAGTACAGTTGGATGTTTAACTCACCGAAGTCTGTGATCCAGATGGCGACCCGCTCATATAGAATATTGAGGATCATGATTACAACAAAGCTAATCAGTGATGCTGTGACAGAAGTGGCCATCTGAGGTGTCACATACTCCTTTATTGGCTCAGCAATTGTCAAGTTTGTATTCCTCAGTTCACGAGAAAACGTAAAGAAGACAGCCAGGCGGTATACAGTGATGGCCACAACAGATGCCAGGATCAACATTATCTAAAGGACAAAATCAGTAAAATAAATAAATAAATAAATAAATAAACAAATAAACAAACAAAACAAAATTATTACAAATTCTTTCTGACAGTCAAGAGATGTGGGGAAAGACAGCTGGAATAGCAGGATGCTTGAAAACATGTGGAGTCAAAGAGGAAACTGTTCCATGTACCCTAGCTACTTTTATAGATCAATACTTCCTGCTCAATATTACATTGGTTAAAATGGACATTTTATTTTAAAGCAAAATTTGTTTTTTTGTGAACTGAAACCATAATATATAAATAATAGTATATAATTATTGTAAAAAGGAAGTAGTAAGTGAAATAGTTCCGTACATATCTTGCTGCAGCAAGAGTCCTGACAGGGACTAGAAAGAGAGAGCAGATTTCTCCTGTTTTGGCTTCCCTTCATTGGCTTCCTGTTAAATCCAGAATTGAATTCAAAATCCTGCTCCTCACATACAAGGTGTTAAATAATCAGGCCCCATCTTATCTTAATGACCTTGTAGTACCATATCACCCTATTAGAGCACTTCACTCTCACACTGCAGGCTTATTTGTTGTTCCTAGAGTATTTAAAAGTAGAATGGGAGGCAGAGCCTTCAGTTTTCAGGCCCCTCTTCTGTGGAAGCAGCTTCTAGTTTGGATTCGGGAGACAGACACTATCTCTACCTTTAATATTAGGCTTAAAACTTTCCTCTTTGCTAAAGCATATAGTTGGGGCTGGACCAGGTGACCCTGAATCCTCCCTTAGTTATGCTGCAATAGACATAGGCTGCCGGGGATTCCAATGATGCATTGAGTTTTTCCTTTCCAGTCACCTTTCTCACTCACTATGTATTAACAGACCTCTCTGCATTGAATCATATCTGTTATCAATCTCTGTCTCTCTTCCACAGCATGTCTTTATCCTGTTTTCCTTCTCTCACCCCAACCGGTCGCAGCAGATGGCCCCGCCCCTCCCTGAGCCTGGTTCTGCCGGAGGTTTCTTCCTGTTAAAAGTTTTTCCTTCCCACTGTCGCCAAAGTGCTTGGTCATAGGGGGTCATATGATTGTTGGGTTTTCTCTGAATCTATTATTGTACGATCTACTGTACAATATAAAGCGTCTTGAGGCGACTGTTGTTGTGATTTGGTGCTATATAAATAAAATTGAATTGAATTGAATATCAGAACAAAATTAATTGGCTTGTAGAACAAACTTTCACTACAATAATTAATTTTTTTCTTTGTGACTTTATTAGTGTCTCACAGCACTGTGGAAGAATTTTGGCCTGCTCTTCTTTACAACATTGCTTCATTTCATTGAGATATGTGGACATTTGCTTGTTTACAGTTCTGTTCAACTCCCACCACCGCATTTCAATGAGGTCTGGGACATTGTGACACCTTGATTCTTTGGTCCTGTGGTTGCAAAACAAGCCCAAACCATCACCCATCCACCGCCATGCTTCACAGTTGGTATGGGGTGTTTGTGTTGAGATGCTGTGTTTGGTTTTCTCCAAACAATTATCTTGTGGATAATAGCCAAACAGCTCCACTGTAGTCTCATCTTTACAAAAGGGATCGTTACAGAAATCATGTGGTTTGTTCAGATACAACTTTGCAAACCTAAGCTGTGCTGCCATGTTCTTCTTAGGAAGAAGATACTTTCTCCAGGCAACCTTCCCAAACAAGCCATACTCTTTTGTCTTTTCTTTGGCTTTTACTTTTATAGTAGTGCTCTCACTTGCTAATGAGCAGTTAATAGTGCATTTGACTAGCAGCACCTGGCTATATATTTAACCTCTTAATTCCTATAGAAACAATAAGGTTGTACATAGTTTTTCAAATACTGTTTCTTTGTTTGGCTTACTTTCTGTTAAATAAATAATAATCATTTTAAGGCCTCCTAAGGATTAGACGTTTGTCTTTCCATGCTGTTATGTAAAATAATAAAATTAAAAGAAGGGTATACCTTAAAAGGAGTTTATATATTGTTCTCACTATTCCTGTTGTGTATTTCTTCTTCTTTGTATAAAAAAAAAAGTAGACACAAAAAAGACATTTAATTCATGACTCACCCAGAAAACGACTGTTGTCATTCCTATCGACACACGGACACATCGTCCACAGGCTGTGTATGGCACCTTTTCCTTCACCTAAATAGCAGACATAAATAAAATGAAATTATGAACCTCAGCAACAATATTTGAAGAGGTGAAACTCACTGATGCATTGTAAATGGAGAAAATCAAAACTCAAGCTGAGATTAGCTGGAGAAAAAGTATGTGGGATTTACCCCTGTAATGGGGTTTTTCCTCTCATAGATACATTTGGCTTCATATTCTGGGCGAGGTGGCTCTTCCTGTTCCAGGAACTCCACAGTGTCCCACTCGTACTCCAGCTCTGCCTGGTAGCGCTTCCAGAACTCTAGGAACAAAGTCACTGCACAAAGCGAAACAAACACAGGAAACAACAAGCCAGGCAGTTATAAGAGAAGGAAGCGCAATATAAATAGGGTGTTCTATTAATAATACCAAAGATGATGCAAAAGCAAAGATAATAACAGAAGATAAAATCTGGTAGAAACTGTATCAAACCTACCCCAGACTGACATGAAAACTGCAAACACTAACGTTCCAAAGTTATCAAATATGCAAAGATTCTTAAAAAAGAGAGAAAGAGATAAAATTTCAATGGCAGCTGCAGCTGTGTCACAAAGTAAAACAGCAGCCACACATTTCACTATGCAAATCTGGCAACAGTGCTACCTACTGTGAGGTGAGCGCTGTGCTGCAAAGTATACTGAGCAACATTAAAGACAGGAAAAGATGCATTCAAATACAATAAAACAGAACTCACTTTCGAAGTGTTACAGGTGCTGTTTAATGTCCAGTATTGGCACGTGTCACACTGTGGACACATGACTATTTTTCCCCCAATATCAGGGTCGCACACTTCTTTGCTGCAGCATTTCAAAGACACAAGACAGACCATTAAAGAGCATTTTTTTAAACATTTAAAATCATTAAAGAGAAATAAATTGTTTGTAGTACCTCCAGGTGCTGGTGTCCCGGGTATAGTACCCGTAGATGAAACAGCCGATCCCAACAACAGCAGCCCAAGTGAGCATTCTCGTGTAGAAACCCAACCAGGCAAAGTAGATGCCAATCTTCTCCCCGTAGTAGTTCCTGTCAATAAAAATAATTAGAGTTATTAATAATTACTACTAATTTTTCTTGAACAAACAGAGAAGACAATTTTTTATGCACAGAAAAAAGATTTACCGTATGAGGTCCAGCGGTTGGATCTTGTAGAAGCTTTTGGGATGAGCCCATTCTTCATAGAGCAGGTATCTTTCATTGGGACACTCTGGTTCTTGGGACTTGACATTGAACCGACACTGACATGACGAGCAGTGAAGCCATTAACATAACATAGTACAGCTTGGCTAAACAAGACAATACGCAGTATGCAAAATAAAGCAGAAAATATTGTGGCTTACATCGTGGATGGGATAGGCCGCTTTGTAAACTCCACTGTCCAGCAGTTTGGTGATGCCAAACTTCTTTATGTTGCCTCGTATGTCATAGGGGGCTCGGCTCAGGATGTAATACGCCTAAGAAAAGAGAAAGAGTCAAAAAGTTATCATTCTACTATTTTATAATACATTGATTTTTTTCTTCATAGACAAAACCATCTCTGTCAATCTAAAAGGAGCTCTTGACTTTTTCAAATCAAATAAAAAACTATAAGATAATTATATAATTTCTAACAACGGATATTTGTTATTTTATTTAAATGGGTGTCTCAAGTGTTCTAGGTTTGGAATCATCACTTTGGAAAAATAAACTAATGAGGAAATTGTCCAATTGCATGCAGTTCTTTCCGTACTGCAGTTGGGGAAAAAACTGGATTCGACAGAGCACCCTGCGTCTCTGACCTCTTTGCATTTAATCATTAGTTATTGTATATCTCTGGCTCTCTTCCACAGTGTGTGTCTTTTGTCTTTTTTGCCTCCTCTAACCCCCAACCAGCAGATGACTCCTCCTGCTTGAGCCTGGAGGTTTCTTCCTGTTAAAAGGGAGTTTTTCATTCCCACTGTCGTCAAGTGCTTGCTCAAAGGAGGTCATCTGATTGTTGGGGTTTCTCTGTATTATTGTAGGGTCTTTACCTTACAATATAAAGTTCCCTGAGGCAACTGCTGTTGTGATTTGGTGCAATATAAATTCAGTTTAACCAGAGCAGATCACCTTCCTCCACCTCTACTCCAACATCCTCCTCTGTCACACAAACCCTCTGCATGTCCTTCTTCTCTATGGTCTTGCTCTTTTCCTCCTGCCTCCCAGCTCCATCTTCAACTTTGAACAATGTGTCCACTATCCCTCCAAATGCAGAAACCACCTTCCTCTCTAGTTTTGTCTCCAAACTGTTCAAACTGTTGTCTATTTGACATACTCATTTCTAATCCTGACCATTCTGGTCACTCCAATGAAAATCTGAACATCTTTAACTCTGTTACCTCCAGCTCCACCCCCTGTATTTTTGGAAGTGCCATAATCTTCAAACCATACATCATATCATCTTGTAAATCTTCCTTTTCACTCTTGCTGCTGTGCTTCTATCACAAATCACCCCTGACACTCTTCTTCACTTGCCTTGTGCACTGCCTGTTGCCTTGGATGCTTGAACCCAGGTATTTAAATCCATGTACATTTAATATCTGCACTCTTTAAACTTTAACATTTCCACCCGTCTCTTTCTCAGTCGCACATGCATTCAGTCTTGGCTCTACTGATCCCATGTATCCGGTGCATACCTCCACCTCTCCAGAGTCTCTTATGCCTGTTTCCTTACATACCACTTCAAAATAAATTGTTATGACAGCAAACCATTACTAAATCATTCACCTAGGAGCATAAAAGTTTTTGTTCTTGGTCCAAACTTGTATTTTCCAGTCCTGCTAACTTTTTCTCCACTATTTTAATGTGCGATTTGTGAAAGTATACGTAATATGTTGTACATAAGACTTAAACCACAAATTCATGGAAAAAGTTAAGTTAAGTTTTAAGATGACTATTATTTCAAATCAAGTTCCTTTAAAATGAAGGCATTTTAAGGTTGTCTGTGAACCCTGACTTTAGTGATTTTAACATGAAATCCATAAATCCATTGACATATTTATGTGTAGGGAGAGTTGCAGGCAGCCTGAACTTATGGCAGCTACATGGAACAACCTACCATCCTGCTCCTCATCGATGGAGTGAAGAAGAGATCTTTGTCCTTGATACAGAAGAGATCTTGTCGATCCTTCTCAAAGGGGGCGGTGAAGAACTCGGACTCCTTACTGATCAGTTTCTCATCGGGATAGAAGTGCTTGGTGATGCAGGAGAAAAAGCGCAACGGGGAGGGGCGGGCCGGCATGTCGTTGGGCTGTATGGGAAGCTTGATATGCAGGACCTCGGCATAGGTGCACAGCACATCCCATGGCATGTGAACTTTCAAAAACATGAGTTTTTCATCTAAAACCTGCAAACAAAGAGAGAATTCAGTTAAAGTAAGAGATACGGGGACAGAAACAGTAACCTCCAGGCAAGGACATCCACTTACAGACTGTGTGGCCTCCAACTCCATGCCCATCTTCATCAGGCTGGCCTCAAAGTATTCTCGCCGTCTCTAAAGAATAAGACAATAAAAAAATAAATATCAAATGCAAATTAATCGCTGGATACAGCAGATACTTTCATGGCCCCTTTAGTTGACTGATTTATGTATTTATTATTCAAAAAGATGTACTAAAAACTCGATATAATACTGTAATACTGCATCATGTTGCTCTCCTGGTGCAGGAACTGCGCTCTGTCTTCGGTGTATTCATTTGGTGAATAATTTGGTATCGCTAAATTGTCACATTCAGCACCTCATGGACACTTTCAAGGAACTGTTAATGAAGCAAAGCTAAAAATAGCTTCAGTCTTTATTACTGCTAACTTTGTTAGCAGAAAGATTACTCATTGAGAAACAGGAAATACCACAATTGCATGCGATGTATATAGACAATCATAATAATTCCATTTAACCAACAGCATGTCAAAGAACCACACCTTCCCAGCAGTCAGAGCAGAATAAAGTTAAGCAACCTGTGTTTGACCAAAGTTATGCTCTGGAACAACAAAGTTAATCGAGTGACTTTTAGAGACTCTCCGCTTGCTGGATTTCTTATGAATATAATGTTTCCTCAGTTCTAACAGACTTAGGAAATTTCATTTCCTGTCATGTGCTAAACAAGGGATCAAAATAGGGAAGATATCAAGATATGCTACAGATTCCAAACAGGAAAGCTCCCAGTAAGCTGCTACAGAGCTAAAGGGATGACTAGACAAATGTTAAAGGGAGACAATAAATGCAAGGAGTAATGTAGCAAGTGGAAACAAGGGAAGTAGAACTAAACATAAAGTGCAAGTGGCAAGACTATCAAAAGGAAAGAGGAAGCAACTAAACACAGAGACAATGACCCTGACATCTGAACCTGACACAGAAAGGAAAGGCTAAAAAAAACCCTCGAGACCAAACCAAACAACCTAAAGCAGAATAGTAACTGAAATCAGCATTAACGGAAACACAGAACTCAAGATATTCAGGAACGAGTCAATCAAGAATGAACAGTCAAACTAAGAAACAAACGTAACATTAACGAATAGAGAGGAAATCTCTAGTCCGCAAACTGAGTCCAAAGCCCAGGACTGTGATACTTCCAGTAACTTTATAGGCAAATCTTTTCCAAGGAACTCAGTAAAACTGGCTGATCGGCTTTTACGGACTTGGAGCTGGGTTGCAGCTGTCTACACCCACTGCCTGTATTTATTCACAGCTCTCATCTCAATCAAGTGGAAAACATGTGGCACTTCTTTTCTAACAACAACATATTCATTTCCAAGCATTATATTATATACAAACCTGACTGTAAACCTGTTGTGAAAGAGGACAAACAAGCCTGGATATGCCAGTTCATCCTTCAGTCTAATACTAATAACAGAAACCAGACCAGGAAGAGTTGGTCTTCTTTCTTTCTATTTTTCCTTCTCTTCAGTTACAAACCAACTGACTTTGTTTTGTGGCGGTTTAACATTTTTGCACCACAAAATCTAAAAACATAAATTAAAAATTACTCATGGCCAAACAGATCTGTTCTGATGATGAACTTTGAGCATCTAATTGAAAAAATGATGCTCTTCATTAGCTCTCTCAAGGAATATAGCCAGGAGCACCTCACAGTCAGAATCTAATGCTTCATATCCTGGATAAATAATATTTACAGACAGAGGGGAATAATGTGAAGCCACAGACTGACAGACTAATCCAAGTGCAAACAAAAACTCCATTTACAAATAAGAAACAGACTCTGCCATTTGTATGAGTAATAAATCAAACACTGAGAAAATTTTGGCTATATACATTCGCCTGCATGCACTCTGTGTATACGTTATGATGTTAGATTATTCTATTAGAAGAATGTTGTTATATAACTCATTAGGACACATAAAATGCAGTCAGATCTTAAAGTCAAAACGAAGGCATTCAGATAAAACCCATTGGGAATCGAACCAGAGAGTCACTGGTGAAAAGAATAGACGCTCAGAGATCAAATGTCAATACTAACACTCTAAATCTAACATCATAACTACTCTCCATGGATTCTGAATGCTGGCATAGCAGGCTGTTTGCAGTCCCCGAGCCTTTAACACCACTGATCACACCGGTCTTATATGACAGGTTGTTGAACTAGGTTGGCATCACTTTTCTTAAATGGTTTTCATTATATTCTGATAGCTAAAAATCATTAATAGCTAAATATTCTCACTAGAAGCGCTTTGGTCCAACTCTCCAACTATCTGCTACTCTCCTGGCCATCTACTTAAGAGCTTTAAAGGCATCTCATATGTTACTATGTTGACGATGACAACCTTAACATTACCATTAACAGTTGGATATCTTTAAATGTCCTCCATTGCAATTCTTTTTCACCCGGACAGCTTCTTGAAGGTCAGTAATCACACTGACATAACAGCTAGGCTTGCCCGCACTCACACGTCACCTCGATTCTTGCTTCCCTTCACCAGCTTCCAGTGAAATTTAAAATTGATTTTATCATTTTACTAATGAGATATAAAGACCCGTATATCCAGGCTCCCACATACATACCAGAAACCACCGTGTTTTACAAAGAACTATGCAAATTAAGCTTTTTATTACTATAATGTCATCTCTCTGCTATGCACTATTTACTCCACTTCGCACCGTTTGCAGTACACCCAGTACCTTTGGATTTAATGGCATGGTGCGTTTTACTAAAATGCTCAATAAGGTTAAAAGAAAAACAAGCTTACCTTGCGTCTCTGGAACACATGCCTCTTCTCATATTCCTTTTTGTCCTCATCTTCATACGCCAGGACAAAGTCAATCCTCCTAACACCATCATTGAAGAACAGGGAGTCTGGTTTGTCATTAAACCCTACCTGAGGGGAAAAACAAGGCTCACTGGGTAAATCTACAGGATGAAACTCATACTCCTCTTCCTCCATAACGTCATACTTGTTGAACATAATCACAAGTAAATGTCCAGCTTGGAGACAGTCGCAGCAGAAACAATGTTAACGCTGACCTGGACCTGCCTATTCAACGTGTAACGTAAGGTCAACAAACACTGTAACGCCCTGCTCTCCTCTCCCTCCCCCTCTCTCACCGCACAGTCCGACCCACTAAGTTTCAGTAAAGCTCATAATATTATGTTAGGGGTTTAATGTTACTTCATTGTCTGTTGACTCACCTCTTGTGCTTTAATTACGTTTCCTCCTTCTTTGATAGAGTGATAAGTTGGTAAAAACTCCTCTGGGTATACTGCAAAAAAAAAAAAGAAAGAAAGAAGAAGAAGATTGCATATATAAATAGGAATGCAAATGCAACAATGAACAAAGAACAGACATGCAGTTTTGGACAGAGGTTTGCATAAACTTATCATGGGCATGAATATCAGGGAATTTGGGGCTTTTAATGATTTCTTTGGCTTGTTCTTTCTCCAGAGTGGAATGATGATACAACATTCATCTTTAAAAACAAGAGTGTGGTGCACAAGTTTGAGTTTCTTTTGGATTTTCTCACAGAGTAAAAATTATATATACAGACTCAAATATTCAGATACTCAAATTAGAGCAGGGCAATATGGCCAAAAATATTTATCACGATATACATTTGAAAATTTGCGATAACGATATAACTGACAATATAATTGACACTAGACAAAATACTTTACAACTCCACAACTTTATTAGTGGAAAAAAAACCCATCAATGTATTTTCACTTAAACAAGCAGCTGTTTTTTATGTGCATTAAAGTTATATAAAAATGTAACAGTGCAAATTCCTTGCTGTCAGTTTAACCAAAATGCATTTCCAGTGGAAATTGGCCGACATATCCTCAGCATAACCATGTATAAGATCCACAAAACTTAGAAAGAGGTTATACACACACAATATGGTAATATTATGTTGAAGCACAGTACGTATCACTCCGAGAGGCTCCTGCCTACGATAGCCGTAATGCTCCGACAATCCATCAAGCGGTGCGGCTTCGTAGCTTAGCAAAGTCGTACTAAAACGTCTGACAGATTTTCGAGCGCTGTGTACCACATAAAATCGTTTCGAGGTCAGTAAACACAACCAGAATTCATACATAAGGCACACGGGATTATAAGGGGCACTGTCGATTTTAAGAAAAAATCAAAGGATGTATTTTAAGTGTGTCGTATTTTCCAAAAAACACGGTAATAACGACGGCCCGCTAGCATGTGCTACCAAAAATAGTGCTTTGTTGTGTATCTGATGGACGAAAGATAAACCAGTTCCACACCACTAAAGTTGCAGCATTTTTACAAACCAGTTCTGGTTCATCCGTTTCATTCAGTGATCCGCTTTCACTCTTCTCATTTCCCGTCGCCGGCACGCTTTTTCCTCCATGTGCATATGAAAACAAAGGCACTGCGCATGCGTGTTTTACCCATATTCTATCGCGATATTTCATTTTCTTATCATTGCCCAACATTATACCAGTATTACCGTGAATGGTATGATATGGCCCAGCCCTAACTCAAATATATAAATGCGCTTCAATCTTTTAATAACTTGGCAGAGGTTATGTGATTGTGATTGACTAGAACTGGTAAATGGACTGGTTGGGTGAATGAGGATTCACCATTCATATAAGCACTTTTAACAGTGGTTAATTGCTTTCTGTTTAACATTCACACTCCGATGGGTGCATCATTGAGCAACTTGGGGTTAGTATCTTGCCCAAGGATATTTTGCACATAGACTGAAGCGCCAACCGATTAGTGGATGACCTCCTCTACCTCCTGAGCTACAGCCACCCCAAAATGGTAGTTTCTCTTTGCTAGCACAGAAATAATTTGTTTTTGTCAGCAATCTTGGACCAATACTTAAAACAAAATTGAAGGAACTCTGAAAATCTAAGTGTCAGTCCTGGGTCAGTGACCCAGTGTTTTGAATTTAGTTTTTTCATTTTTGTTTTCATCGTGGTTCATGACTATTAGGGGTTTGGTTTCTGTTTTGTATTTCTAGATCTTTAGTTCTCCTGGCTTTGTGATTTCTAGTTCTTCGGTTTAATTCTGCCCTCATGTTTATTCTCTTGTTCCCCTGTCGGTCGTGTCTCATGTCATTCCTGTCCCTGTACTCCGTGTTCCCTCTGTTCAGTATCAAGTCTGTGTCTCTCTGTGCCTGTCCTGGTCCCACGTCTCCTGTCTGGTCATCTCTGTCCTTATGTTCCCTCTGTACCGTATCAGTATTATCGTAGTGTTAAGCTTGTGTCTCTGAGTCCGTGTCTGTGCGTACATGGTGTATTTCCTGTTTTATTTTGATAGTCTGTCTCCTATGCCAGGGTATCTAGTTTTGCGTTCCCTCGTCTCATTATGTCTGATTTGTCCCAGCTGTGTTTCTTCCTGTTTCCAAATCCTCACTTCCTGCTGTGTTTTCAACCCTCATTTTCCTGTAAATTTCCTCACTCTTAGTTCTGGTTTGTTTCCTCAGGTTTTCTAGTTTTAGGTTTCAGTGCCCAGTTTAGTGTCTAGTCCCGTATTGGTGATTTGAGTTTGTTTGGTGATGTTATTTCTATGAAGAATTTTCCCAGCAATAAACCTGCACTCTGAGTTTAACTCGCTAGTCTTGACACTAAGGAGGAAAACTGTCATTGTCACTAACTGTCACAACTTTGGAAAGACATTTCTAATTAATTGCAGATTCCAAGATCGTGCAAATGCTCCCTTCATTTCCCCAGATTTGAAGGATAGGTCGGGTGTATACTTCGTGGCCCAACCTATCCCAGAATTCATAGCGCAGCCCTGCTCAGTTTCCAACAATGGCGGAAGCTAGTTAGTTTTAATATTACTCTTATTATTCTTTCTGGGTCACAAAATAAACGTTTAACATATTTTCAGGCGAGAATGTAGCTGTGTGAACTTCAAATATTTGCTCAGTTTATCAAGACACCGCATATTTTCAAAAGCGCTCCGATGTTTTCGGAGGCGTTTGTTACTCACCAGCTTGATAGCTAGCCGGGGCTTAAGGCTCACTAGAGCCGGTGAGAACACCGGACTCCCGGTGTTGTGCCAAAAAGTGATTTCCAATGTTTCCGTGTGTTTTTTATGTGTAATATTGTTATGTATGTTGCTAAATAAACTTCGGTGAACAGGTATTACAAAGGGGTTATATATAAAATTAAAAATTACCTGTTTCTCAAGTATCTTTGTAACTGTGTTATTGTACTTACATTATAATCAACCACCTTCCTTTTGTCCACTTAAAATATCTTAACAAAACAATTTTTGCATTTGTTGCAATTTCAACTGTCCTCTTGGCCAGATTACTCTTAAAAGAGACATTTTTAAAGTAAACAAGAATTTTTTTTTTAACTGCATAAATAAAGGATACATAAAAGTCACTGCCAAAAACTGATTGCAGCTTCTACCTTGTTACAGGAATGGTAAATGGCCTGTATTTGTATAGTGCTTTACTTAGTCCCTAAGGACCCCAAAGCGCTTTACACTACATTCAGTCATTCACCCATTCACACACTGGTGATGGCAAGCTACATTGTAGTCACAGCTGCCCTGGGGCGCACTGACACAGGCGAGGCTGCCGGACACTGGCGCCACCGGGCCCTCTGACCAGCACCAGTAGGCAACTGGTGAAGTGTCTTGCCCAAGGACACAACGACTGAGACTGTCGGAGCCGGGGCTCGAACCGGCAACCTTCCGATTACAAGACGAACTGCCAACTCTTGAGCCACCAAATGTTGTTTGTTGCTCAAGGTGACTTGATATAATTCATGAGGGATATATTTGAAATATGTTTCACCAACAAGTTTTTGGCAAATACCGGAAATCAGTTTTTGGCACAACATCAGCAAATCGCTTTCAAACCCACGGCCGTCTTTCGCTACTCAGGTTAAACATATATAAGTCAGTTACATAACTTAATGTTATTGTTTGGCTTTTTTCAGTATATTATTTGTTCAAAGCAGACAACTGATTATCAGAAGTGTGAGATGCTCGAGAATATACTCCGGTGTCCTGTTATATTTTAGATAGCAAGGAGCAGACGGCTGAGTTTATTAAACTCATTAAAATGTAATAAACTATCATCTTGTCTTTATTTTTAGTTAGCACATACCTTAAACACTTAAAGCTGTAAGCTAATGATAGTTATATAAGAGCAGATGCATGCTAGTGCAATAAGCTGTACGTTGTACGTCCAGTGGATGCATGATCTGATTAGTCGACTAATCGCAAAAATAATTGGTGACAAGTCGACTATGAAAATAATCGTTTGTGGCAGCCCTAGTTAGGATTTTCAGGAGAACATACAAACCAAGGCTAAACACTGCTTTGAACTGGAAACTGCTGGAACACCACAGTAGAGTCTGTTTTGCATTGCCGTTGACTGAGAGGAGGTGCAAGGTCAACTGAAATTTGCACCTGCCCACATAAACCAGATTACGCCTGGCGAAAGGTTTTATGGTCTGAAGGGGAAAAGTTGTATAGCCATGACAGCAATGACAAGAGGTGTGCTTGGAAGAGTAAAGGTGAGGCTGTCAAACCCAAGAACACTGAACACGCTCTGGGGGCTGTTATGCTGCCAGCGGTACTGGTGCATTACAAAAAGTGGATGGAACAATGAAAAAGGAGGACTAGCCCCAAATTCTTTAACTTTACCTCAAATCTGTGGCTGAATTATTGAAACAATTGGGTGTTATATGTGTGTAATTTTCACCATGTGTAACCAGTTCTTGTTTATTTTAAAGCCATTAAATATGCATGCTGTAAAATCATTCCAGCCAGATAATTCACTGAAAGCCTGAAATTATCCATGTCCAGCCAAACATCCAAATGTCCATGATTAAGTGGATGCAGACTAAGTACTGCAGAAGATGCATTACTAGCAGATTATATAGATTTTATATTCTAGCTTTTTTTCCAGAAAAGATTTGTACAGAGAATGTATGGACTTCTGTTGCATTTATAGCACAGAATTTATGCTGCTACTATTTCTCTTTTAGTCTTTTAGTTGCAGTTTGACCTGCATCTCATGTTTGTCCTAATACATATCTTTGTCAGCCACAACAGAGAGGATGAGTGTGTCTGTACGCCTGCTGGGGCATGCACATAAAAACAGACACGGGTGTTCATATGTCTGTGAGGAGATTTTGATTTAATTGGAGTTCCACAAGATAAAATCATGGGAGGGCGCAGCTGTGAAGGCAATAACAGATATGGACTGAAAGCACGGTTACAACGCTGTTCTTTTACAGCGTTGTCATATGGTCATAAACCTGTTATGAAAGGGCTGATGCTCATATACAACTTTAGCAGAATAGCGCTTTATGATTTACAGTTCAGAATGGTCCTCATATATCTCTATATCCGAACTCTCTGTCACTCCAGTGTCTGAAACAGGCCATTTTGGGTCTCGTCCCTTTAAGTTATCTTTGACCAACAGGTGGGTGGGGACAGCCATGACTAAGTGAGGGGATTCCCCTTAAAGTAGAATTAAACAAACATAAAAAACAGAATAAAAGTGTGTGCCCTAAGCTTTTGACTCATAAGGACTGGATGCACATTATCTGACCTTATTTTGTGAGACTTTTGGCCATGTTTAATGTAACTATCTCTCATACTACAGCAAAAATGTGCCAGAGAATAAGGAAAAGCATGTGTGCCCTTTAAACTAAATGTGTCTAAAATATCAGTTTAGCCCATAAACTACAGTAGGTAAATTATGCTCTCTAATAGGTGTACATATATGTTTATGCATATACTACTGATTATAACAGTTCTGTATAGTTAAGTACAGTACAGTAACTTATAGTTACACTGAGTTAAGGTCCTACAGTACAAATGGTTTAGTCACCTAAGGTAAACAAAGCAAAAGGTAAGATCCCATATATTATATTAAGAAGGTATCTACTTATAGGAGCTTATTGTTGATGGAAATATGCATCAGTAGGCTGAAAGAGCAGTTATTCTTGAACGTTTTTTCTGGCATTCCCCACTTTAGAGCCCAGAAACAGCTCACATACTCCACCCAACCACTTTTTCAGATGCTGTAGAAAACAACTGAAGTTCATTTTCAATTAAATCAGTGAACTCTTGTTTGTTTTGCCTACAAAATGACTCAACTGGAGCTTCATTCCCTATTCCATTCCAGCTTTTTATTCCCCACCAGTCTACAGCATTCTTAAGGACTACTGACCCGCTTTTCTTTAACCTTTGTTTTCCACTGAGTTATAGCTAATGCTCTAGCTCTGCAGTGCTCACTGAAGCACCACAGACTGCTTTTCACTTCCTTTAACATCACACTCTCTCGCTGATTTATTGCTTGCACAAAACGTCCTACTCACCACAATTGTTCTATGAATCCCCTGATACAAAATAGAAATTCCGCTGCTCAACATACATACTTTCCCACCACAGACTACGTCAAAACAAGAAAATACATAATAAAAATAACACTGCAGCCTCTCCCATTTGCCTCATAAATCTTTTGTCCCTTATTTCAAAAAAACAGATGACCTAAAAATCGAATATGGGAAGTCTTGCAGTGTTTCCATATAAAGTGGAAAAGAAAACTAACTGGAGACAGATGTTGTTTTCATAACACAGGCCATAGTAACATGCTTAGGGAGCGTGAGGAAGAAACACTGCTCTTAAAATCAACAATTTCTCCTTTGAAAGTCTTCAAGCAGGCTCACGGTCTGACTTCTATACTGCAGTCATCCCACAAAGTGCAGTGACATAACATACAGCCCGGGTTTTAAGCAGTTCAGACAGACACACATTCATCTGAAATCGTCAGTCTCCGAACACAAACGCTGTTACAGAACCTCTGCAACCATAACTGATTCAGAAAGTGTGAGTCATTTGAAAAGCATGCAACTGAAATCTTTTATTTTGTCAGAAACCACTAACCCAGTCGCAGGCTACTTCCTTCCTTAGAGTACATCCGACACATCAATGTACAAAAAAGAAAAAAGAAAAAAAAGGCACATGTAACAATGAGAGGAAAATGGATTATTCCTTAAAAGAAAAAAAAACAGCTTTTGAAGCATTGTGGTGCCTAGGTATGTGACCTTAAGGCGTACATAATAATAATTTTGAATGGTAAAAATGGTAAATGGCCTGTATTTGTATAGCGCTTTACTAGTCCCTAAGGACCCCAAAGCGCTTCACACATCCAGTCACCCACCCATTCACACACTGGTGATGGCAAGCTACATTGTAGCCACAGCCACCCTGGGGCGCACTGACAGAGGCGAGGCCGAAGATGGTTTAAAAAAAAAGGTATCTTACGAAACGGCAGGAGTTGCTTTTCTGCTCGATCTCAGGGGACGTTTCACAACAGATAAGAATCGAGCACCAGCTCTATTGCAAGTCAGGACACAAATATGGCTGTATATTTTCATGAAAACCAATAAATAATTATTGGTTTTCATGAAAAGTGCTTAAACCTGATTTTCTCATCTTCGTTCGTAAAATGGGTACATCCGGTGCACCTTCAGCAACTGTGCCTGTATTGAGATCAAGCATCATGCTTACTCAAGCATAAAAAAGAAAGCTGGGTAAGAAGCCAAAGTGACTGACACCACCTCAACCACAGCCAGTGTGACCATTTTACATTTGACGTTCATTAAGACTACTTTGTTGGTGAATGCACTGACCACCACAGTCCTGTAAAATGATTGTAATGAAACGAACCCTCCATTAGACTAGAGTGCCTTTACAGTGAGATGCTCTTCATGATCTATTTTATGATCTTATCTTATGATCTATTATCTAAGACATCAGTGAACAAAGGGAGAGAGAAAAAACATTTCATCGATAGGCCTGCGTCACTTTAGATGAGACAGGTATGATATAGATTTCATAGAAACACTGCAGCAGAATCTACTCTGGGTACAGAGATGAAGACGAGCCCAGGACACATTCTGTTCAGCAGCGGAGTTATGGTTTCGGTTTGCAGATTCAGGAATGTGAAAAAACCCGAACAACAAAAGCTCGCTGAGAGGTGTTTCTGTGTGGTAGCAAGGTAGATCTAGGAATACCGAGAAACTATAGTCATTTGTAATCTTGGGTTCTTGGAGATGTCCGAAGCTGTATTGTGCACCACACCTCCACTGGTGCTCAATTGTCTCTCTGCACATGCCCATTCCTGATCAATCTGTAACACTGCACACCGTCATCTATCCTTGAGCAACACTGTATTTGCGCCATACTGGGACTACATATTATAGAGTAAAAAGTAAATATCTTAACTATACCGGAGTGCAGAATACATAAGAGAAAGGGGACTTTGTTTAAAGGAGTTACAATAGTAATAATTTCTCCACTACAGAGTAGCAAAAGATGAGTTCCCGGAGATAACGTGGCCTAAGAATATCGACAGCTGTCTCGATAAGGACCCACAGCATCACGAGGATAAAACCCAGACCGAGTCCGCGCTCCGGAATAGCATGCAGACAACTGTTGCAAAAGACCATGTTCTCTCACCAACTTCCTCTTCTATCATGCCCAGCTCTATATCCCCCAGATCCTCCATGTCGGACTCCATCTCGAGGATGTCGTGGTCGCTCATAGTCCTGCCGACAGCTCCAGTGTCATCACTTCCCAAACAAAAAGTTAAAAACAAAACAAAACAACCAACAAGCGTGCCGATTCTCACTTTGATTTCAAGGCACAGCCTCCGCGCATTCTTGCTTCAGTTCACAGCGTTGGTTCAGTGCGCGTAAAGTTTTCATGCAGTGACTTGTACGAGTGTGAAACGGGTGGGGCTGGAGGGGGGCGGGGGAGGAGGAGGAGGAGGAGAGTGTTCAAATAAAAGTTGGTTATCTGACGCTGTGTAGCTTTCTTCTGGTTTGTACCCATCAACATTTTCATAATTAATAATTCTGCGCATGGACCTCAGCTCTCCAGGCCTTGACCAGATACTTGTTGATATAATTCACATTCAATTTAAGAGAAAATCTTCTATCAGTTACACAACTTTCTATAAAAAAAAGTCTCCAGTGTTGTTTTCCCCTCTAATGAAACTTTTTATTAGCAACTACAGTAAACAATGTCAGCAACTAATACAGGGACAGGGGAGTAAATATGTAATGTAATCTTTTATCATAATGCTCTGTTTCTTTTTTAAATGCTATAAACTGTTTGGAGTGACTGCATTTGGGTTTGCGGATATGATACAGCGCTGCGAAGAAGTAATTCCAGAGAATCTCAACGTGATTTAAGTCCAGATTTTGATCAGATCACTTCAAAACACTTTATTTAACCTATTTATTTAACCTATTTAACCTACATAACCCAGGTGTCTTCTGGCAAATGTGGGACAAGCCTCTGTGGTTTTATTCTTGGAACTCTTCCATGGATGCCATTCCTTCCCAGCCTCTTTCTAATTGTTGAATCATGAACTCTGACCTTAACTGAGGCGAGTGAGGCCTGCAGTTCTCTTGATGACGATTTTTGTTTTCCTTTTTTTTGTCTTTAAGCCAGTTTGCCAAAAAAAAAAAAAAAAGAGAGAGATTGCCAATATTTATATGGGCTTTTTTTGCCCATCCCCAGTGGCTCCCTGTGGCTTTGACTAAAACAAAAACAAAAACCCCTAGATATTATACTTAAAAATAAAAATAATAGTATTTACTTTACATTTTTTAAAGACATTAAGCTGCTATATGTTTTGTTTATTTATTAAAGTATCATACTTCTAATTTCTTTGCACAAATACAAGTTGGATTGAAAGTGTGCCCTTAGATTTTTAGGTGGGCTCTTGAAACAGGGGGCTCCAGGTAGGTGGTGGTGCATATGGTACTAAGGTGTCAGAGATGTAGCTGGGAGGAAAGGCCTTAAAAGTTCCAGTATCAAAAAGCTAAAACAGGAGTGATGTGATCTCTGAGTTCTGCACAGCCTGCACTCATTAAACATATTCTTTTGTTTTCTTTTTCTAAAGAAAAAAAAAGGCTGTTAGCACAATCCAGACATGATAGATCTTCAAAGTAGATCTTATTTGTGAAATATATCCTAAGATGATAAAAAAAACGATTTGAAGAATTTCACGGTGTAATAATTTTTTTCTCAGGCAGTAAAAGAAGTATATAGACTCTATATTTAAAGTAAAAGTCATATATGACTTTACTGCATTATAATGCAGTAGTAGCATAAATTTATTAGCATCAAAATACGCCTACATTAAATTACAGAGGAATTTGAACAGGGAAAATTCAATTTAGGGACAGACGATTGTTAGAGAATTGTGGATCAATATGGTTGTCATTGTGTAAGATGATTAGATCTTTAGCACCTTGTTTTCTACACACACACACACACACACACACACACACACACACACACACACACACACACACACACTCACATTTCACTGATCACATCACATGCTCACAGACACATTCACTGTTGCAGATACACATGTTCTAAACTATTATAGAGCAAAACAGGGCCCGATGGCTTGGGGATAGAAGCTCCTCTTGAGTCTCTCTGTCCTTGCCCGGATGATGTGAAACTTTCTACTGGATTGCAGAAGTTGGAACAGTTTGTTGTCAGGGTGGGACGGGTCCTTCAGTATCTGCGCTGCTCTAGTCCGCGGCAAGAGGGAACCAACAAGCCGAACCAACAACCAGCTAATCTGCTGAAAGAGAAAGGGCAATTCTAATGAATATTAAACTGTCCAAACCTGATGGGGCAGCACTGGAATCAACAGACAGAAAAGAATATGCATGGCACTGTGTTGGTTAAGAAACAGAAAAAAGTAGGCCTTAAAAAGTTTATTGGAATTTGGTGACCCTGAGAACTGGTCTGTCAATGAGAATTTTAATATATCTTGAAATGCTGATTTACTCAGAAAAAACTCCAGATTTCAGGATACTTGGTCAGTTAGTCAACTTTTGAGAGCTATATAACTCATAACCTTTGAGTTATGAAATTATATATCCTTATATAGTATATATTCTTTAAGTTACATTTAAGTTTTTAACTTACTGATGATGAAAAAGCTTTTTCTTCAGTGGCTTCCATAGAAGATAGAATGAAGAAGAAGAAGAAGAAGAAGAAGAAGAAGAAGAAGAAGAAGAAGAAGAAAACTATACAGTGCACATAAAAGAAGTTTCAGAAACTTTTAGTAATGACTTTCACGTATTAACACATTCCTTACGTTCACACAAGGGATTATAAACAAAACAATGTCAGACAAGCAAAAACAAGCAAAAACAAAACAAATAGGCGGGGGAAAAAACTATGCGTGTGACTAATAAATCCAGAAGATGGCAGTAATATAGCGCCACCTCTGTGAGCTGCTTGAGAACGTCAAAGAAGAAGAAGAGGCGGAACACCTCTCAACACATTTCCGCCAATAACAAACCTGCTAGCTTGTAGCAACTTGAACTGTATTGTTTGTGCTTTTTTCCCCCAAGTGTCTGCAAAAAAATTTCTAGGCAGCGGTTGTTTGGAAGTTGGTTAATTAGAAGACGTGTTTCCTGGAATTACGCAAATGCTACCATTAACTGTTTAAACCGTCGGTCATAAACGTGAATCAGCAAATAAATGGTTGCGACTGGTGTTAGCTGACAGGCTAACGTGCTGCTCGGTGACATGCTCTTTTTAGCAGGTCGTTGGACGTTCGCATATTAATTAACATGTCCTGAAACGCGTCAGGATCATCGCGCTGCAGACGGAGAGGGGGTTTAACAGTCAGAGTGTGACCTAGAAAAATACAGATACCGGACCTTTTCAGACGATTCATGTTGTTTCCAGACCGGGAAGCGTTACCTTCCCAAGGTTTCCACCAGGTGAGTCAAAATAAATAGCTGTAAAACGGAGGTGGAAATTGACCCAACCTGAATATGAACAGTCATAGAGATTTGTTGTAGTAATATATAATCTATGCGTACTTGGTTTAGGTCATATGAGGTCATAAATGTATTCTTTCTAAGTTTAGCGCATAGGTTTATTTCACTCCAAAGACATCTGGGTTATTTTATCTAGGCTTCTTGGGACGTTTTAACCAGGTTTTGTTTATTAGAAAGCTTGAAGAAGTGTATGTCCCAATTTAGAGATCATTTCCTGTCTTGTGTCTAAATAAGATACAAGACAGGACAAAACATAACAAAACAATTACTTCTTCTTCTGGGTGCTCATCTTCCATCTCACCCCATTGCTGGCATTCACGTCTGTAACATCAACCCTTTGTATCGCTAATCCTGTCTATTTTTTTCAATCTCACTTAAAATCTTAGCATCTTCAGTTCTGCCACCTCCAGCTTGGCCTTCTGTCTTTTTGTTAGAACCACCATCTTTGAAAAATACATCATAGCAAGTCTCAATACCTGTGAACCTATCCTTCTCACCCCTGATACTCCATCCACTCCACCCTGTCTGCACACTATTCTTCCTATTGCACTTTTAATTAAAGAAAAAAAACAAGCAGGTTGTATTGGAAAGTGTTGGACTATGTAGAACCACAATAGAGGGGTGTGGCACACTGTCTAAATGTCAACTGTAGGTGTTTTATACTGCTGAGATGTGGTAGTTGCAAAAGCCATAGCATAATGTCCATGTTAAGGATAATAGTAGCCCCAGATCATGCCAGAAATAGACCCTTCTTGGGTTCTTCTAATCTCCTCACTGTAGGGGGTAGGTTCAGGTTGTTCCTTTAATGTGTCAGGGGCCTACATGTTTCCTAACAAAAATAAACAAACAACAAAATATATAGACAGCTAACATTCCTGTCTGGCTCTGTTTTTCTTATGGTTTATCTCACTCTGCAGATTTGCAAAATGAAGATGTTCTCTGTGGCACACAAGACTGTCTTCGTAGTGGATCACTGTCCCTACATGGCAGAGTCCAGTCGTCAGCAGGTGGAGTGTGATGTGCTGACAAAGAGCCGAGCTCAAGGGGTCATTCCTTTGGCCCCGGTGTCAAAGTCTCTGTGGACATGTGCTGTGGAGTGCTCCATGGAGTACTGCCGGATCCTTTATGATGTTTATCCAAAGGACAAACTGGTTAGTGTCTGTTTTTTATTGTTTGTCCATCTAAGTGATATAATTATGAGACTGGGCATGCTGGATGTCCACCTTTTGATGTCATCCGTGCCACTGACATTTTCTGCCTCTTTATTTTCCAGGTTAATTACATTGTGAGTGATTCAGAGTTTCACATACTGAATAGCTGGAGGAGGGAAGATCAGAGCACTCACGAGGTAATCCACTGCACATTTAAACGGAATAAGCTGCCTGAATTGAATTAGTTGCAGTATCTAACATCAACTTTGTCACAATTTAGAGACATTTCCTTTGAACTCAGTGTCTCCCATCTTTCGTCACAGCTCATGTCAGCTCTGGCAGCTGTTGGGCCACCAAACCCTCGCGAGGACCCGGAGTGCTGCAGCATCTTGCATGGCCTGGTAGCTGCAGTGGAGTCATTATGTAAGATCACAGAGCTGCAGCATGAGAAGCGTATCGCTCTGATGGACACAGCTGACAGAGTTGCTAACAGAGGCCGTATTATCTGCCTAACTAATGCTAAAAGGTAAACAGAGGCCACGTGTTCAGTGCTTCAGCTCTTTATTTTGTTTGAGTCATAAGAATAACTTATACAACTGTATCACTGAAAACCTTGCGCAATGTGAGTTAAAGCCATAATAAAACTCTCATCTATACTTGAATGAAGGTTACCACACAGCTAATACAGTGATGGAAAGCCCATAACAGTCAGCTAGAAAAACAGTCTTTTACACGCGGGACACTAAAACATATTGGCTTCACTTATCTGCTGAAGAAGCATGTTTTACCAAATGTGCAAGACATGTTGCACTTCTGGCAAAAAGCATTGTCTGCATCAACTCTAGTGAGGTGTAACCAGGCTTTCTAAACACTTATTTTTTATTTATTTTTTGTTTCCTCATTGTCGCTAAGAGAAGAGTATGTGCTCTTCCGTCACAGGCTCAGAGAGAGAGAGAGGTTTAAATGCATCAAAACAGATGCTGAACAGTTTCTGAACTACCCTAAGTCATTTTTTTCAAACCAGTTTTGTCAGGTAATATTTATTTAATTTTTTTAATGATAAGAATGTATCAACGGAAGAATTTTGTTTATAAAAATGGAAACTGCATTGCTTTCTCTCTGAGGTAACATAAAGTAACAAGAGTCAGTCTTAGAACCTGCATGTTCAAAAGCTGTCAGATGGATTGGAAGGAGTGCATGTCTGAGGGGGGCTTACATCGAAAATGGGTCCTTTGTCAGCAGATTTACAAACACATGTGCCTCTTTGCAGCCATGTACTCTTGTTACACTTGTCATTTTACTTGTCCATAAATGTCCATAAATTCCTGCTCTTTTTGTTTTTTGTCGTGCAGCGACACACATGTGCGCATGCTGGAAGACTGCATTCAGGAAACTATTATAGAGCAAAACAAGCTGGCAGCAGGCTCAGACAGGTCAGTACGCAGCAAAGAAAGACTTGTCCAGGTGATCCTGACTTGGTTATAAAAAGTGAAACTCTGGTATTGCTTGTAATATTAAAACTCATTGTTGTGGGTTTTAGGCTCATGGCCATCCAGCAGTGTGAGCTGGTTCTAGTTCACATCTACCCACAGGGTGAGGACACACTGGTGTCTGACCGGCCCAAGAAAGAGGTGGGTGAAAAGCTCGACAGTCAACGTTTAATTAAAATCAATCACAATAGAAAGTGAAGACGTGTTAACACTGGATTTCACCCAAACCCCATTTAATCTATCACAATCCAGCTTTTCACTGTGTCCCTCTCTTTGTGTCTCAGATCTCTCCTCTGCTCACCAGTGAGGTGCACAGTGTTCGAGCTGGGAGGCACCTGGCCACCAAACTCAACATTTTGGTCCAGCAGCACTTTGACTTGGCCTCCACCACCATAACGAACATCCCCATGAAGGTAAAGGCCATCTTCGTCCTGCCTTTTATCTGCTCTTGCACATCTTTTGCCAAAATGTTGATTAAAATAACATGTTTGTCTTTCCATTCTGCTAGTATAGAAATCTTTTTTTAGAATACAGTGCACTTCTCACCTTTTTTTTTTTTTTTTTTTTATTGGACTGATTGGTTTTATTATTTTTTTATCCTCTTTTCTCACTCATATCCACATTTTGTTTCTTTGCTTGCTTATAAAGTGTGAACCCTTGCTTCACTAAAATAACCCAATGCACTCTAGTCGCATCTTTTGTTTGATCTCATCTGCATGTCGATGTGACTGTGAACCTGCTGCTGGTTTCATGCTGTATTTTCTGTTTTGCTAGCCCACATTAAATGTTTGCGAACAGGTTAGTACTCTGATCACACACACATCAAACTGAGGAAGGGGGCAGAGTTTGCATCATGTAGTGTGTATACTTTGAGCGTTAGGGTCATGAATTTATCCTGATGTGTCAGTTGGATCAAGTAAAGGACGGGCAACTCTGGTCTCATGTGGACTTACAAAGTTCAAATGTAGTTTTAAAGGGATTTGATTTGTGGGGAAATCTTTTTGGTCTGATTGTAGAGATTATTTTTATGACAAAAACTAAAAGAAAACTTCAGAATTTGTTGCATTCAAGTGTTCATAAGTGGAAACATCTGTGACCAGCGTTGCCTCTTCTGATTTATTAAATTCTGTCAATGTGTAGATGCCCTAAAAGTTTATCAGACTTCCCCTGCTCTCTATCCACCCCTTGAAAACGGTCTCTCTTCCTGAGATCTTCCATTTAGTGTCTCAGTGTGTTCCATTGTGCTTTCTTCTTTTTTTTTTTTTTTTTTTGTAACTAGTTTTTGAGCGCATCTATCCCCTCAATCTGGATTCCAGCTTTTCCAGCTATCCATGTACTGACTTTTTTTTTTCAAATTGATAGTAGTGTTGCCCATATTCAGAAGTAAACAAGTCCTATTATCAAAACAAACCTTTTAAACACATCAAAGCATGTTTAAACTGAATAATAATTTCTGCTTTAAAATTTGGGTCATTGAATGAACCAACGTTTTTCCTTTTACTTTGTTTATCGTTTTGCCCTTTGGGACATGAAATCAGCAGTGTTGATGTGTGTTTGTGCATTTGTGTGAGTTTGAACCTTTTAGGAGCTGACTTCACGCTGACCTTTGTTTGTTAATGTCTCTGTGGGTGGACAGGAAGAGCAGCATGCCAACACATCGGCTAATTATGACGTTGAGCTCTTGCATCACCGAGACGCCCACCTCGAGTTCTTTAAAAGTGGTGAGTGCCCACGTTACAGGTCTGCCTAGCTCTAAATGAGCCAGTTAAACAGGTCAGGAGGTTGAAACTGTTGTTTTCCCATTGTAAGAAATGCTGTTGAAACCTCCAAACCCTGCTACACAAAGTAGAGTATTTCAGAAATCTTGCAAGAATTAGGTGGAGCGTGTGCGTCCTAGCTTTAGTTGGGAGGCGAGGTACAAGCTGGACAGCTCAATGGGCTCCTTGTTGGTGTTTTGAGTTCTTAATCTTCGAAATAAATAAAATATGTCAATGTTGTGTTTGTGTTGTGTAGGAGACTTACACATGGCGGGGACCAGCACTAGAGAAAATGGACTCAAGGAGACGGTTACGTTAAAATGGTGTACTCCACGAACAAACAGCATAGGTGGGAAAAATTGCAACAAAGAATAACCTCACTCATTCTTCATTTAAAATGTTTTGCAACACCATGCATTGTTTTTTTTTTGTTTTTTTTTTTAAATCTCATAAACCTATAAGTTATGTACAAAAGTACACAGAAAAAATACCACGTTTAAACTGAGACATGGTACTGTCTCTTCAAATGAATTCGCTCATTTTCAATTTGATGGCAGCAACACGTCAGTGATACTTAAAAGAACAAGCTGTTTTACAGCTATTTATTTTAACTGACTAACAGGTCAATTTTCAGAAAAATTGTAAAAACCTCCACAGTACGTAAGAACAAAAACATTCCGAAAATGTGGAGAAATCTCTGTGCACAAGAGACGAGGCCCTCAGGAACGCCACTGGTTATCAGCCTTAGGCCACGGTTTCTTGAGTTAGAATATTTATCCTCAAGTCTAATTTAAGCAGCGACATTTGTTCAGTTTATAGTTTTAATGTATTTGTTCTGTTAATTTGCAGGCTAGGTATACACAGTATATTGGCAAATATTGGGATTGTGGGCTGATATTAGCATTTAGGCAAATAAAAAGGCTTTTAGTGATGACAGTGGCTGGTCCTAATATGTTGTCTCAGTGATTTAGAGCTGGAGAAATCAATAAGAACAGAACCATAAGAAACAAAGAAAAACAGAACAGTATCTGACCAGAATTGTACAACCTATGCATCTCTGTTACAGTGTCCTTCTGGGATCTTGTTATAAAATAACAATAATGGTTGTAATAGACAAATAGTTACCATCTAGGGTAAAAAAATGAGTCATCAGTGAAGGAGGCATTGTTCATGTTTTATGTTGTAATTAATGGTGATCAAAAGATCAGTTTTTTTTCCACTTCAGAGCTACATTACTGCACAGGAGCCTATCGCATCTCCCCCACAGATGTCAACAGTCGTCCCTCGTCATGCTTGACCAATTTTCTCCTTAATGGTAAACTGGATTCATCACAATTTGTTTATTTTTTGTGTTGAAGTCCTATTTTTTGACTGTTCCTGCAAACCGCTGATTATTCCTGTTGATGTGCCGATAACAGGTCGGTCCGTGTTGCTGGAGCAACCGAGGAAGTCGGGTTCAAAGGTAATCAGCCACATGCTCAGTAGCCACGGAGGCGAGATTTTCCTGCACGTGCTCAACAGCAACCGCTCCACCCTAGAGGACCCGCCCTCCATCAGCGAGGGCTGCGGAGGCCGTGTGACAGACTACCGCATCACTGTATGTACAGCTCCCATCAGCTGTTCAGAAATATTCAGCAAAGTTGATCTGATGCTAAATGTTTTTTGTTTTTTTACATTTTTTCATCAGGATTTTGGTGAATTTATGAGGGAGAACCGGCTCACTCCTGTGTCAGAATCTTCCCACGATCCCTCAGGGAAGCTGCCAGCTGAGAGGGCCAAAGCTCAGCTGGAGCGCCACACTCGATACTGGCCAATGATCATCTCCCAGACGACCATCTTCAACATGCAGGCAGTGAGGCACCATCCAGGAATACTAGTCTTCCTGATTATCAGTGTTCTTTCTTATTTCTACCAAAGATTTGTCTTTTTCCAGTTGGCCCACATCCCCCTTTAGCACACGTCTGTGTTGTTTTTGCTCTATTAGGTGGTTCCTCTGGCTAACCTGATAGTAAAAGAGACTTTGACAGATGAGGATGTTCTCACCTGCCAGAAGACCGTTTACAACCTGGTAGATATGGAGAGAAAGAACGACCCACTCCCCATTTCCACTGTAGGATCTAGAGGCAAAGGCCCCAAGAGGTATTACCTCAGTTTTGATCATTTTACACTCCCCAGTCCTGGCTTACCAGCGGAAATCAGCATTAATATTTCCACATAATTATTATCTCCAGGGATGAGCAGTACCGCATAATGTGGAATGAGCTGGAAACATTAGTGAAGACTCACGCCGGGGCGACTGACAGGCACCAGCGAGTTCTGGATTGCATCATCGCCTGCCGCAGCAAACCTCCAGAGGAGGAGGACCGGAAGAAGAGAGGGAGGAAGAGAGAGGAGAGGGAGGACAGGACAGAGAAAAATGGCAGCAAGGAGACAGACGACAAAAGCTGGCAGGACTCGGAGAGGTCAGTAGTGCCCGAGAACCTTCAGTTTGTTTTAGGAAAAATAATTTCGTCTATCATTTTTCCATGTGGATTCACAGCTTATTTTTATTGAGCTTATTGGATACAACAGAGAAGAAAGAGATAAAAGAACCTAACTTTGTGATGTATGCTCCTCTGTCTCAAAGACTAAAGGGATTGATGGATAAAGATGAGCAGGAGTCGGAGGTCATCAAGGATTCCCCAGATTCCCCAGAGCCGCTCAACAAAAAGCCTCGCTTAACCTCAGAGGAGATTCAGCCTCCAGAAAGAACGAAAGGTACCAACAGTTGACACCTGACCTCCTTTCATAATACCATACAGAAGCGCGGATACATTTTCACTAATTTATTGACATTTTATCACAGTATAAGGCACATTTTTAAAAGAAAATAACACCACACAAACTATTTGTATGTTTTTGATTCGCTGTCTTTGCAGGTCCTGTCTCACTCCTCACTATGTGGAGCAACCGAATCACTGCAGTCAATTCCAGGAAGCACCAAGAGTTTTTTGGAAGAGCCAGTTCTGTGAACAGCAAGTTCGAGTTGTACCAGCACCTCAAAGATGAGAATGGGTGTGTTCAGTTATCTGTGAAAGTGTCATTATGCTGAATGAATACCATTCTTGTTAGTGCGGTTTGTGTTCATGCTCAGGATGTAAAAAAACTTGACATTGTCCTTGCTTACAGGATGGATGTTCATGAAAATGGGAAGGCCACCAGATGATGTTTCCACAGCTCCAGCTCAGCCTTTCTGCAGATGAGATTTTGGACCACAGTGATTTTAAGACTGCCCAAAAAAGGACATCAAATTAAAAGAGATGGTGAACTCTTAACAAGGAATTTCTAATTTTTTTACTTCTAATTTTGTAGTTGTGCTGTTCACATGTTGCGTAACACAATAAAAACTGCCAGTAGAGAATGTTGCTGTTGGCTTTTGCACAAATCATGCTCAGTTTTATCTTGTCATTACTTCATTTGTCTATAGAGTATTTTGTTTTTCATTGAGGAAAGATGTCTGCAGTGTTCAGTGTAAGAATCTAAGTAGGAATTCATAAATGTGTGTAACCGTCTGTAAAAGCCAAAATCAGAATAGAATTTGTCCATCTCATTTCTAGGTCATCTCCTTCAAAAAGCTCTGGAAAATAATTTTAGATTTCTCTCTGGAAATCAGGCTCTGACCACTTACACTTTGCCAGAATACCGAACCGGCGACTTGAATTTAAACCAGAGGAAGAGCAGGAAAGTCAAAATGAGAAAAATCCTAAAAGAAGAATGGGTCCTGGGAGTGTTTTAGCTGTTGGATTTGCGCTTAAAAAAAACTCCATTCATTCGAAACAACCTGCACATAAAGACTGCCAGGCATTAGGAAAAAGTGGAAGACCACATAGAGGATTCACACAGAGGGATGGTGTCACAGATATGGTGACATTATCGGTTTAAAGAGGTTATTTAAGTGTTGATTCATGAATCACTGATCTTTTGTGATGGGGAGCATTCATTCTCTGAATTCATGGATTTATTTGTGGAACTCATTGCAAACCACACAGTCTTTTTATTTGATTAGTGTGGTTAGTCTGATTTGGCCCATTTCTCACAGGCTGGAATATCATAGAAATGAACTTTTAAAGAATCTAGGTTATTTATGCAGCAGTAATGTGGTGCAGATCCAAGATCAGAGGTGGCAAGTTGCTCAGGCCATGTCTGTCTTGGGCCACAAGGAAGAGATCCTGAGGTGCAACTTGGAGGTCCACTTTTAGAGAAGCGCCATGTATCACCAAACCATACAAAACTAGCCAGGCAGCCACAGAGCATCCACCTTATCTACTTTTGGATCCAAAAAGGTTTCGGGGGGATTGTGAAGTGAAAGGGGAAAAAGTGGTGGAACCGACTGCAATGCTGTCAGTGGGAGCGTACAAGATTATGTTCTAGGTTTCATTAAACACAGAAAATAATATTTATGTGAATATGAAAATCTCTGTGGAGAACATGAATATTTAATGGCCGTTTCAAAAGGCATGAGAAAGTGGGCATGTTTGGGTTTTGGACTGCTGTTGGACTAAAACTATCGAGGGGGAAAAAAATCTGTCATTTTAAGCCTCAACAGTTGCACTGACACATGTCTTATATTTACTACAGCAGCATTTGTTCTTCATGTCGGAAAACTGAGACATCTCAGGCATGATTGGATAGTTAAACTTCTTTACACTGACGGAAAAAAGAGTTTCACCGGACCAGCCGGTTGAAGACCAAAGAGGCTGCACGAGTTTGACGTCTCTCCTCTGAGACTCAAGCCATTTAAAGGAGGTTTGATGAAGAAATGCTAATTGGCAAGACATATATTACAGTAATAGTGACCTGAAGGTGAACGCGCGCAAAGCTACTGGTCCGGACGGGATTCCCGGCCGCGTCCTCAAGTCATGCGCGGCTCAGCTGGCTGGAGTGTTCACACACATCTTCAACCTTTCCCTCTCTCTGTCTGTAGTCCCAGCCTGCTTCAAAATGGCCACCATCGTCCCTGTACCCAAATCCTCCACCATCTCCTCATTGAACGACTGGCGACCTGTAGCCCTGACCCCCATCGTAAGCAAATGCTTCGAGAAGCTGGTCAGGGACTTCATCTGCTCTGCACTACCCGACTCACTGGACCCTCTACAGTTTGCATACCGCCACAACAGGTCCACTGATGATGCCATAGCCCTGACACTACACACTGCCCTGTCACACCTGGAGAAGAGAGACACGTATGTGAGAATGCTGTTTGTAGATTACAGCTCAGCATTCAATACCATCGTTCCCTCGAAGCTGGACAGGAAACTGCAGGATCTAGGACTGAGCAGCTCCCTCTGCAGCTGGATCCTTAGCTTCCTGTCTGACAGACGCCAGGTGGTCAGACTGGGCAGCATCACCTCATCCCCCATCACACTGAACACTGGTGCTCCACAGGGGTGTGTACTGAGCCCTCTCCTGTACTCACTCTACACCTACGACTGCACAGCCACTAACAGCTCCAACATCATTGTGAAGTTTGCGGACGACACTACAGTGGTGGGTCTTATCACCAACGGTGATGAGACGGCTTACAGGGAGGAGGTCAGCGCCCTGACCCACTGGTGTCAAGACAACCATCTCACCCTCAACGTCGCAAAGACAAAGGAGTTGATAGTGGACTTCCGGAGGTGCAGAGAAGTACACACCCCCATCACCATCAACGGCGCTGCTGTGGAGAGAGTGAGCAGCTTCCGGTTCCTTGGCGTACACCTGGCTGAGGATCTTACGTGGTCAGTACACACAAACAAAACAGTGAAGAAGGCCCAGCAGCGCCTCTTCTTTCTCAGGAGACTGAAAAGATTCGGCATGAGCCCCCGCATCCTCAGGACCTTCTGTCACTGTGCCATTGAGAGCATCCTCACTGGATGCATCACCACCTGGTATGGCAACAGCACCGCCTACAACTGCAAAGCTCTCCAGAGAGTAGTGCGGTGCTCTGAACGGATAATTGGAGGTGAGCTTCCCTCCCTCCAAGACATCTACAGGAAGCGCTGCCTGAGGAAAGCAGGGAGGATCATCAAGGACTCCAGTCACCCCAGCCATAAACTGTTCAGACTGCTTCCATCAGGAAGGAGGTTCTGCAGCATCCGGTCCTGTACCAGCAGACTGAGAGACAGCTTTTTCCATCAGGCCATCAGACTGCTGAACACGTCATAGACACCTCAGCTTCACTACTGGAACTTCAACATTATGCACTCCACACTGTATATAAATGCCACTTGTTTTGCACATATTCAACTCTGTATATTTTATATATTTTATTATTATTATTTTTTTTTTTTACTACCGGTATTTAATTTGTAAAAATGTGTACACACACACACACACACACACACACACACACACGTAGGAAAATATTTAGTATACACATCCAGAAATGCATACACTATTATATATTGTACATATATTTATTAGTTTCAGGTTGGCCATTCTTGTATTTTGCTCGTTTGTGTTGTTGTGTTTGCACATCTCTGTTGCTTGTGGGGCTCGCACACAAGAATTTCACTCGCATGTGCTGTGCCAGTGTGCCTGCACATGTGATGTGACAATAAAAGTGATTTGATTTGATTTGAAGCCCTGAATTTAACGTCTGTGTGCAACAACAGAGATGATAGTATTTGAGAGGGGCTACAGTTAATACCACATTTGGAACAGCAGATGTCTCAGGCTGTTCACTGAAAACGCCAGGCTCTGGGGGTAAGTTGGTTTAATTGTCCTCTATCAGGCCTTCCACTCTGTACATGGCTGATTTTGAGATTAAAGGCTCCAGCTCAGTTTGTCTAGACACGTTCAGCTGATCTAATAATGTGGGCAACGACGCATCCCGAACATCAAATCCTGATTTGTCCCAGATGAAACTGAGGATACATTATGAATTGTATCAGAGTGCTCATCTGGAAACAGTTGAGTAGGTGGTACATTGTTTTATGATGACAGTGCCTGTCATCCTCTTTTGAAAGTAGATGAGAAGCAGACAGGGTCTGTGAAGGGTGGATTTGGCAGTGTTTTAGTCTTTGGAGAGAAAATGCAACACTTCAGCTCAGCCCCCTACAAACAGAAAGAGTGTAATATTATATTTAACCCTGGAATTTAGACTTTATAGAGTCAATGTTTTTACATAAATTAACACAGAGAAATTGCTTTTAATTCATCTCGTACACCTTGAGTGATTTTTGGAGCGTTCCAGCTGTTTGCTATTTCATCAACTGCTCTCATTTTTTCTTTGGAAAAAAACGAAAAAAAATTAGCTCAACTTATTCCAACATGATCGTACTGTTCATTCACTATTACAGGTTTCACAGCATAGGTTAACTATCATTTTATAACTATTTATTTTATTATAAATCAACATTGAGAAAGACTGCCATCTGTTATTCACCAACAAAATGTTTGCTGGGAAGTGTTGGAAGATATTTTGTCACTCCTTTATTTTTCTTTCCCCCTGGCAAACATTTCAATGTTGAATAACTGTAGGCTGTTGGTCTGCTGACATTACCACAACGTCGGTTCAAGGTGGTCATCCATCCATCAAAATTCCCTAACTCTCATGCTGCCATTATAATTACTAGAATAACAACTCAGAGGTGCAATCATAGCTTAAAAAGTGACTGTGTTAGTGTGGTGTTGTAATCAATCTTTATGTGATTCTCAATAAAAAGGCAAGACTCTTAACACAGTGATCTGTTTTCCACGTGTCCTATGCTTGTCGTATTTTTCTGACTACATTAGGCCACATATGTCCCTCCATTCATTCATCCACTGAGCTCCATTCAGCTGTGGGCTCTCTTTCAAACAAGGTCAAGTCATTACAACATATGATCTGAATGACTAAGAACCCGGAACAATCCTACATAGTCATATAGATGTCAACAGCAGCACACTTACCACGTGATTGGCTCTCTGAGTCAGTGTGGTTTGTTCTGTAAGATTCTGTCTAGAGGGGGGTTTCCATCTTATGAGGTCTCGGGGTCAGACAAGTGGTGAGCGGTTCTCCGCTGATCGCCCTCTGTGGCAGCTTGGAAGTAAGAGGTTGAGGTCAGCGGCAGTGAGGGGTGAATACTGTGTGGTCTACAGGATGGAAACAGTGTTGAGAGAGCTTTGGTATTGCAACTTTCCCAGTCATTATATGAGTCTTGGACTTTGAAATTGGAAACTTGAATTCCTGCCTTTTGGGTACATTTAGGTACAAAAAAAAGAAGCAAATATCTTGGGTCTATAGTGTGACTGCAATTTCTTCTGTGCAATAAGCTGGCTGATTAAGAGTTCTTATATTTGCGTGGACAGTGTATGTTGGCTTAGCTAAATCAGACAGTCATTCCTCATCTTAGCAATGAGAAGGCCCCAGAAGCTGAGCAACCCAATCTCCCATGGCATCTTGCTTCTCAGCAAGCTCACCTTGC